AGGGCGTCAATTAATCGATATTTATCCATTGATTCAGCAAAAAAAACGACTAACCCATTATAAGATTAATAAGATTAATTGATAAATTAGATATGTGAGTTATTTTCCAGGTCTACCCACTGACCTAAGTCCAGTGGTCCACTTGGGACTAGAACCTGTTTGCTCAAAAGACGTACCAGCAATGTTCCTACATCAGTTTCCGACCAGAAATTACTCGCTTTGATCTTCATCAGCTGTAATTCCATGGGAAGGTCTTGGTTAAGCCATCTCGGCTTTGTTTGCTTACTGGCCTCATACCTGAGAAAGACGTCCCTATCTGCCAGGCCCTGTTCTCCTCCCTTTAAGACCAAGGATGCAGTGCCACCACGGGGGAGGAGCTTTTTGATAACTTTATATATTTCTTGCCTGATGAGAGGTTCCCCTGCTAGCCGCCCTGCATCAGTGGCAGGTGACAGAAAGGGGGATATGGTTCCCAAAATAGTAACTTCTCCATATATTGTCTCATGGGGCTCGGACAATCCCACTTCCCAGTCTTTGCAGGCAGTAAAAGCCCTTGGCCTTTCGCCAACCGGTGCTTCAGTCTTTGCCTCTTAGAGGTGAGCTCAGAGTCCAGAGGAGGAGGCAATAGAGTGGGGTGAGGCAAATCAGTGGGTCCTGGCAGATAACTTTCTGGGAGATCCTCGGTGAGATCCACCACTTGTGAACTCTGTTGCTCTGCATGGGAAACCTTATGGAACCTTCCAACCGAGGAGGAGTCATGTGAGACCATATCTCTGTTCCCATTTCCACAGTCCTTTTCATTTATGAGATCACTAGTCTCTGACTCAGTTGTCTTACTGCAGATAGTAGATGCCATGGCAGACTCGTTGCCTGAGGCGTTCTTATCCAGTTCATCCAAACCATTTGTGAAACAGGTATCTATGCTGCTTCCCCCCCTTTTAATCATGAGGGGGAGAGGCTGAACAGATGCGCGCTCGGTCTCAATAAACGGCTCAGACTCAGTAGCGATGGTAGACAAAACCGGATGTGGGTTCACAGACCCTGGGTCCCACTCAATCAACCCTTGACTGTGTTTCTTAGGGGTGGCTGAGCGGGACTGATAATTGATGAGCAGGAATTTTTTTTCCCCGGTGAGGGCAGATACAATTTCTTTGAAACAGGATGGGTTACTGTTCCCTGATGGGCACTGCGACAATGGCTGCCGCAGTTGATTGTCATTACCAGGATCCCTATCATCAACTTCAGCCACTTCCGTCACATGTGGGTGGGGGGGATCGGATCCAGAAAAATGGGCGGGAACCACTGGCATATTTCCCCCAATTTCTTTGAAACAGGATGGGTTACTATACCCTGATGGGCATTGCAACAATGGCTGCCGCAGTTGCTTCTCATTACCAGGATCCCTCCCCGTATCATCAAGTTCAGCCACTTCCTTCACATGTGGGTGGGGGGGATCGGATCCAGAAAAATGAGTGGGAACAACTGGCATATTTCCCCCAGCAATCTGAGTGGAATCAACGTGGATATTTCCCTCAGCAGACAGAGAATTGTGATTATTATGGGACTCTGAATTCGAATTTTTCGGCCTTCCACTTGATGATCCTAATGTTGTGGGACTTTGAGTTCGTTTACTAGCGATGTTTCACTCAACTGTTGTGGCTGTTGTTGTGCTTCCACCTCTTCCGCCTCAAGTGCCAACAGGGGCATAAAACGATTGTGTGAATTTTGTGCAT